TACCTGCAGTAATCCCCCCTCGCCCCAATGGCAGATTCAGTCCGGTGCTTTTGTCTTTCTGATTGCCCTCTCTGGGTTGTGCTGTTGTTGCCTTTGTTGGGCTTCCCTGTTTGCGCGCAAGGCCGGGAGTTCCCGATCGTTCGCTGATCGCTTCCCTTCCGAGCCTCTGCGCTCCCCTTTGTCTGCAGCGCCCGAGGGGAGCCAGCACTGATACAAAGTATCCGCTTGCGGTTTTGAGTTAAGCGCCACCACCTGTTGCCAATCATCAGAGCGTCCGCTTGCGGTTTCACTTCCCTTTTTCTCCGCTTGCCCCTGGGCGGCGAAATTGACTTAGGCGAAGCTGAGCGGTGCCTTCACCATGCCGTTCCGTGCCGGCTGAATCTGACACTAGAGACACATCAAGAGCTGTTTGTGTAAGATGCCACCATCCATGTTGTCAATAACTGCCCTTTCTTCTTGGGTGGCCAAATGAATTCCTCAGGGGCAGCAAAGTTGCAACAGATATTTATTTGGGTTGGTTGAATCTGCTTCATTTCCTCTTTTTTCCCCCATTCCCATGTTCCTCCCTTCCAAACTCAGTAGTCTGAATTTTTTTTTTTTAAGTTTACACTACAAATTGTGCACATTTCTCATATACATATTCGTTTGCAATCTGAGTTAATGTACAATGTCTATAAGCAATTCTTCTTAGCCAATGTATTACATACACAACTTCCATGCAAGATGCAAACTTTTTAATATATATCCTTTTAACTTTGCAAGGTGAAATTTGAAAAGGTGTGAATTTCAAAGGATCATTGAACTTCTGTTGGGGTATTGGTTGAAAAATGTGAAATCAGGTAACTTTGCATTTATAAGCAGGCTGAACTGATTTCTCCCCCAGCCGCAGCCTCTCAGCTGCTGTCTCCCACTAGCTGATCAAGGCCTGCACCAGAAGGCTGGCTCCCTTCTGAACTGCTTGCCCCTGGGGGCCTCCAAGATGGTAGGGAAGCCTGTCCCCTTGGCAGAATAGAAGCAGAGCCCCTGGAAGCAGCTGCTTCAGGGGAAGCGGGAAGACCACAGGGGCCAACGCCAGTTTTATGCCTGCTGAGGTCTCTTGCCACTCGCCGCAGCGCTCTCTCTGCACCAGAGCAATGTGGGAGAAAAGCAGAGTGGGAAAGGGGCTGCCAAGCGTTCTGCTTGGGCTCTGGAAATGGCACTGCTGGGACAAGGCAAGGTGGCCAGCTGCAGATATCTGCCCACACCTGGGGATCCCTGCAGAGACCCCAGGACTCCCCAAGACACCACTGTTCTTCCCAAAAGAGACTCCCTCACCCACCCCCCAGTAACCAGCAGCCACTCCTGTTGTTCGATGCAGAATTAGGGCTATTTGATAAGCTACGGTCAGCATTTATACAAAACAAGTCTATTTGATGTGTTTGGTTTAAATTTAATTTAATTTGTTGTGCAGGGTCAGGGGAGGGGGGAGAGGTGGGCCTGGAATGCAAGCCAGAGCTATGCTTGCAGCCCGTTCGTGTCTTAGTTTGCTTGGCAAAGGTGTTTTTCTGTGGGAGGCTGTTTGCTTTGCTCAGGAGACGAGCACCCTGCCAGCAGCAGAGCTGGGCGTCCAGGGCCAGGGCCGGGGCTGGGGCCGGGTCGTCCGCGGGTCAGGCGGGGCTGGGCCTCCTTTGCTCCACGGGGCAGCCGGTTGCTCCTTTCCCTGTCCTTCAAGGGGGCTTTCCTCTTAGAAGCAGGTAGCAGCCAGGCTCCCCCACCCACGTCAGGCGTCCGCTCCCCCAAGAAAGGGCCCGGGTCTGCCACAGCATTAGTGACAGCCGCAGGACTTCACCACCATGTTCCGCTTTTTCCTGAGGATAACGTTGTTGTTGCTGTCGTAGAAGAGAACAAAGATGGCGCTCAGCTTCGTGGGGGCACAGCAGGCCTTGGGAACGGCTTCGGGCTTCATCAGGTGGACCTACAGGGGAGGAACATGGTCACTGGATCAGGCGCCCCGCAGAGCCTCCAGCGCTTCTGCAGGGTGGAGATGCTGGCCCTGAAGCAGAAGGCCAAGCCCTCCTCCTCCTCCTCACCACCCCCGGGCCACTCTGACGGGGAAGCGGAAACAGTTTAAAGAAACATCGGTTCCCAGGAGAAAAATGCACCAGTTTCCATGAGTAGGCCATTTGTCAGCACTGACAAAAATATTTATCCAGAAAGGTTTGAAAAAGCTTAGGCTGCCGTTTACGTTGGAAGCTCTTGCAAGGCACCGTTGGGGGGGGGAGAAGACCACAACGGAACAGCTGCGTTTGGGTTCCCAACTGCTTCCTGACCCTCATCCGTGGTAGAAGGAGGCCCCCTCCCAGTGCTGCAGCTGACGCTGGGTTGACCTCCAGGCTCCTCCTGGGCATGCAGATGGCCCAGGCATGATTCTTGCTAAAGCTGTGGTGGGTCAGCACAGGTCCCCCGGACAGGAACCGACTAGCAGTCCAGCTTGCCATAGGCAACCTTCCTCTGTCCAGCAGTCACAGTTGAGATGGAGGCCACAACTGTGCAATCAAAACCCTACCCCTTGTTTCCATGTGTGGTGTCCACCATCCTCTTAAAAAAGGGGAAGAGCTCTGATTATTCAGCTGTGGCAGCCTTCCTGACTGACACCAACATCCCCCATGGCCGGCAGCTGAGAGCCCACGGGCTCCATGGGATCCGCAGAGCAAGCAAAGGGTTCGGCCCGAGAACGATGACCTGTGTCCGACTTTTCTTAAAGGCAGCCAGTCTCAGGGATGCTGAGGGCTTTGGGGATGGCAGGAGGAGGAGAAGGCAGAGGGCTGCCCTGATGGGAACAGAAGTGTAGCAATAGCAACGTCACACAGCTCTTTATGACATAACCCTGCTTTAAACTCTTTTAGCGACCACGAGCCTCCCAGTGGGATTGCTGCTTATTTAGGTGGGTCTGTGATGAACAGAACAGAGAAAGGAGCAGGGAAGCACCCCTTGTCCATGTTCACACAGAACGTTTAACTGGCCAGTTTCTAATATAGTGGCTGCATTTGCCCAACGTGCTAAGTTTGATTTTGTACTGAGGTTGCTTAGGAGTTTTATGGTGGTGCTTTGGTCAATCCATTTGGATTAGGGCCTGGTGGAAACTCAGATGGTGGTTGTGCAATCAGGTTAATCAGCGTTCAACTTGGTCCTCAGCTCATGGGGAAAACGGGGGGAGGGAGTGCCTTAGAGCTCCTGGAGGAAAGGCAAGAGATAGATCCAACAAAGGAACACAAAAATTGCTGTCCATCTCCCCACTTGCTAAGAGGCCCTTGTGCTGCCTCCTGCAAGAGGATACTGACCAGCGACTGGACGATGGCGTGGTTGGTGGCGTTCATGGAGGCGTTCAGGGGAAACACACATTCTCCATCACAGTAGAATGCGGGGTAACTCTGTGGTGCAATCACCCAGTCCTGGGGGAGGATAACGGAGAAGGTCAGCCCCCCAGCCTCCAGAGGGCTGGCCAGGCGGATTCAGCTGGGGGGAGGGACCAAAGAAGCCAGGCTGCTGGAACAAACTTTTGCTTTCGCCAGCTCAGAGTTTCCCAAGTGAGTTGTTTTTAAATCAGGGTTCCTCAATCTCGGCAACTTTATGATGTGTGGACTTCAGCTCCCAGAATTCCCCAGCCAGCATGGGGAATCTCTAAGGTTGCCAAGATTGAGAAACACTGATAGATGATAGATAGAAGTGAATGAAGATAGAGATAGATGATTAGATAGATATAGAAATGAATAATAATGATAATAATAATGATATATTAAATTTATATGCTGCCCAACTCCCAGAGACTCTGGGCAGTTTACAACTGTTAAAACATTTAACAACAGAAGTCAATATAAAAAACACAAAAAAACAGCACAAGACAGAACAACGATGGCAAAGAAAACAAACCAGGGGCGTCAGTTGTCCTCACCAAAGGCCTTTAAGGCCCTTCAGAATAGCAGAAGGGTGGGAGCCATTCGAATTTCGGGGGAAACCTCATTCCAGAGGCAGGTGTTGCTCCAGAGAAGGCACCCTTCTGGGGCCCGACAGATGGCATGGCTTAATCAGTGAAACCTGGAGTGCGCGCCAAGCCTGCTAGATCAAACTGGCCGGGCAGATGCTATAGGAGACAGGTGGTCCCTCAAGTAACCAGGCCCTATGCTATGCAGGGCTTTACAGGTGGCGACCAGCACCTTGAATCGCACCTGGAAGCAAACTGACAACCAGTGCAGCTCGTGAAGCAGAGGGGTCACTGCCTGTGCCACTGCATTCTGGACCAGTTGAAGCTTCCAGGTGGTCTTCAAGGACAGCCCCACATAAAGCGTATTGCAGTAGTCAAGCCGTGAGGTGACAAGGGCATGACTGTCTGAAGGGCTCCCTGTTCTAGGAATGAATGAATGGATGAGTTCCTTGAAATGCAATTTCCTGAATCATCTGATACCAGAGCTACGCTTTCTGGAGGAGGAATTCACACATCACTTTCACTTCCCAAAAGGTGCTCACCCTTAAGATTGTGCACAAGCTGTACCTGAACAGATCAGGCAGAGTTGCAACAGGCACTCTCCTCTTTGACTGAAGAACAGGAGCCTGGATTTATTTTCCTGGAACACTTTACAGGGAGCCCACCTCTGGCATTACCACCTTCACTCTGTGTAAGCCAGATGAGAGCCTCTGGGCTACATGTGCCAGAGCCTGGGGGACAGGATGGGCAGAGGTGCCTGGCACCACAGTTAATGATTTCTGGGGACACAGTTAAAAGTGGTTACCAGCCAATTAAAATCTTGAAACTTGACGTTCAGCTCGTGCCTTCTGCATACCCGGCTGTGCTCAGAAACGGAGACGTCATCTGGGGAAGGAAGAAGAGCTGAGCGTTAAGGGGAGGCTGTTTCTCTCCCGGAGTCCCGCAACTGAAGCCCAATGGAGAGCTGCATGCGGATCTCGAGACGCTCGGTGTTGGGAAGGGGAGCCCATTTCCACAGCCCGTTCCCCCTGCTCGGCCCCACTCCAGAGGGCCCTGACACCCAGCCATCCTTCACCGCAGGGGAGGCTCCCACAGCGTTTCCCTGCCAGTCATTAGCAGCAGCTCCGTGAGAGGAAGCTGGGCGAGGGCTGTGGGAAAGGCCGTGGTCCCAAGTGCGGCGCCTCCCTGCCTCTGGCTCTTTTTCCCATGAAGCAAACCTCCAGAGCCAAGGCACTCTTGCGTTAAGGGCTGCACTTTGGGGAAACCCAGGTTCGAGTCCTCCCTTGGCCGTGGAGCTCGACAAAGGACAACCCCCTTGGGGGTCCTGGGTGGAGCAGATAGAGAGACACCGGCCTTTGGATGCCAGTATTAGTTCTGTGACTGGTTTTTATTAAACCTTTCAGGCTCCCAGGATGGTTGGGGGAGGGTAGGGGGCTGGGGGTTCTGGGAATTCAAGTCCAGGTTGGGGAGGCTGCCCTCCTTCCCTCTGCCACTTCCTGCTAGAGGGCGGTGAGATGGGAACTGCTGGTGGGCACAGCTTGGCCCACCTGCATGCCGGGAAGATGCCGCTCTCAACTTTCTTCAGGGTTGGGGAAGCTTAAAGGTGCAAAACATGTGTATCTTCCATGTATTTGGGGTAGCGCATCATATCTGTTTTGAGGCCCACAATTCTGCTGAGACCTGCAGGTGTGCTGCTGAATTTCAACTGGGCAGCACAGTGCAGGAGGGCTATGGGGCTGCAGGCTGCAGAGGCTCTTTCTGGATCTCCGTCCCAGGATCGATCAGGGGAATGTGGGCTCTGCGTGCCTCCAGGTCCTTCTCAAACCCTTGCTTCCCACTCTTCCTTTGGGTGGGCAGAGGCAGCTCCAGGGGTGTCCCAGGGTGTGGGCAAAAGCGTCAAGACGGTGGCCACAGCGGTGTGATTGAAGCGCCCCCTTTTTTGATGTGTGCTGTGCATAAAAGCAGGTCCGTCACAGTCACCATCTTGATGTTTTGACCGCACCCGTGGATACCCACTGCAGCTCTGCCTGCCGAGATGCCAAGCCTCTGCCCGTTTCCCCATCTTTCTGCTTCTTACCAAAAAACCCCGGGAGCCTGCTGGAGTGTGGGAAGCCGAGGGTCCTTTTGTGCTGGGGCCGTTTCTTGGCCTGCTTGGCTGCGCGGGGGAGCCGGACCTGGCTTTCACTCTCCTGGAAAAAGGTCACCACGAAGGGCTGCTTGGAAAGTGGTCCGTGGCGACCCAAGAGGCCGGCCAGCGCAGGGTCCACACTCTCTCCTGCAAAAGCCAAGGAACAAGCCCTGAAAACGCTGCCAGCTGGACTAGCGATGGAGCTCCTTGTTTTGGGACCCTCGCGTGCCCCCCAGCCAGCCTGGCCAGAAGCCTCCACGACTCCCAAGCAGG